TGTGGAAGCATGCAGTGCTAAAGGCTCTCCACACAATATCTACAACACTGAACAATGTCCTGAGCTCATTCTGTTCATCTCGGGAGAAGCTTGTGATGATCATATTGAATTCTTACGAGGACATTTCCAGCATTATCCAGAAACTAATTTAATTCAACTTTGGTAATAACTATCCAGAATCTCTAATTTAATTTAACTTTGGTAATAATTGAGACAAAAAGTTTACCAAGAATAGCCAGTCTTTTTCCTGAGCAGCTTCAAATGTTGATTTATGATTTTAACAAAAAGTCTAACATTATCAGCATGCTCCATCAGGGCTAATTATACAGGACTTAAAGTTCATTTCCTGTTTATGTTGGTCCAGTAAAGATAAGCTGCCCTGAGCACAGGAGGGAATGCCACGCTCCACAGAGCTCTCTGAGGCTTGTCCTTCTGTTACACTTTACACTTAGAAGTGGAAGTAGGAGCAGAGACTTTGCTCTCTGAAGAATACAAATCTGAGACTTAGGACACTGCAGAGACAGTGGGACTGAGGTCCACATCCTATATTCAGTTAACTAGATGGCTTTAATCTGTTTCCCTGAAGAATCAGATTTGAATTACTTTCATGCCTTTTTTTAAAGATGTATTTCTTTATTTTGTACACTGTGTTCTGGCTGCATGTAGGCCTGGCGCCCAGAAGAGGGCACCAGATCTCATTATGGATGGTTGTGAGCCACCACGTGGTTGCTGGGAGTAGAACTCAGGAAATCTGGAAGTGTACCCAGTCCTCTTAACCACTGAGCCATCTCTCCAACCCTTTTTATTGAAATAGATTCTCCTCTCAAACAATACATCCTGACCATAGTTTTCTTTCACTCCATTCCTCCCAGCTCCCACTTCCCATCTCTCCCCCAGATCCTCTCTCCCCCCTCAGTTTTTCTTCAGAAGAGGGTAGGCTTCCAAGAGACAATAACCAAACACAACAAAACAAGTAACAATAAGACACAACGAAAGCCCTCATATGGAGACTGGACAAGGCAATCCGACAGTCCTAAAAGCAGGCAAAAAGAGTCAGAGATACACCAACTCCTACTGTTAAAATTCCCACAAAAACACCATAACATACACAGAGGACCTGGTGCAGAGCCATGTATACACCATGATTCCCACTTCAGTCTATGTGAGCCTATAGGAGACCTGCTTAGTTGATTCAGTGTGTCATATTCTCATGGTGTCCTCCATCACCCTCTGGCTCCTGTAATCTTTCTTCCCCCTCCAGGTTTCCCCAGTGCAGAGGAGAAGCACCCGACAGAGACCTCCAATGTAGACTGTCTTGCACAATGTCTGCTGTGGGTCTGCATCTGCTCCCATTTCCTGCCACAAAAAGCCTCTCTGACGATGACTGTAAAGGCACCAATTCATGAATATAGAAGAATGATATTAGGAATCGTTACACTGATTTTTTTTCTCTAATCATTTTTTATTCTAACTCAGATCTCAAGGCCTCCAGCACATCTTACAAACAGGCTTTAGGTCCAGGGTTTTGTCCTGGGTTGGTGTCCATGTTTCTCTTTCGCTAGCCTGTAGAGTACCTTCCCACACCAAAGAGACTAGAACATATGGGTGAACACTCCGTACAGGCACCAGCACATCCTCTCTACACTCACTGAGCTGGGTGAATATTGACCTCTGCATTGGGCCCCACTGTCAGTTTGAGGAGAGTGCTCCTCTGTCCTAGCAGCAGCCTCACCCCAAATTCTGCCCTCTTTTAAAGCAGAGACATTCTGCAAAAACAAATAGAATGTGAAACCTGGGCAACTGAGTTTTAAGTAGAGCATTGACAGCTGGACAGTCCAGCAACAATGTCCACATCTGCTTTCCAGAATTTTACAAACTATAGTAACTTACCCACCTTTAAACCTTGGCTAACTTGGAATACTAAAAATTGCAGTATTCTACGATGAGTTATCTGCCTAGTATCCTTTGTCATATACTGAAGGCATTTTCCAGCCATTGAGCTTGAAAACAGTGCTTTAGCCAAAATAACAAAAAGTATTCTCTCATTGTCTGCCTTAGTCATATGAATATACAAGTGAATATACCCAAGAATTTTCATTCTTAGAGGTAGAAGTGCTGACCCGAAGCTAACATCTATATAAAACTCAGAAAGCATTTCATCCTGAACCATTTGACTTTTCTCCCATCAGGTATGAGAATGCTTGTTTCTCTGCCATTCCCCAAACCTTGAATTTTGACAAATATTTAAACTCTTATCTAATTAATTTTTTAAAAGGCTATTGTGTTGGTATTTTGACATGCATTTAATTTGTGAATAAACTTAACAGTCTTTACCTAAAGGAGACAGATCCCCACCACATCCTCTGACATGTTCGCTCTCCCATTGCTCTCATTCTGGTTGCCTCTTTCACTTGATATTTTCCATTTTTTCCTCCACTGAGAATCAAACAGTATCTGATCCAGAGCATCCATGGCTTTTTTAATCTCTCCAAATCACACAGTGTATGCTACAAGCCTATATACTCGGCCCTTTTTTAATCACCTTATCATCTCAATATAGAAATAAAAAAGTTCATCTCCAGGCCTAAAATATGTATATAGGCATTTTAATGTTATCATATATGTAATATGAATATATACTAAGGAATTTCCAAATTATAAAACCATGGGCACTTAAGAATTTCACATTTAATATCCAAAAAGCCTTTAGCTCTGAGTCATCTGAAAGATATGTCTACAAAATTTACTTTTAAAATAAAACAAATATGTTATCAAAGTGGATAAAAAAATTTGATTCGTTTAGTTGATTTTGAACAACAGATATATGAGAGGAAGATGATGAAATACATCTATTTGGCCTGGAGCAAGCACATTTTGGTTTTTTAAGTTCTGGCATTATAATAACTATATTACTTTCCTCCCTTCAATCCCCTCCATGTATTACAAATTCCTGGCTTCTTTATTTCATTGTTTCTGCACATATACATACATATATACTCACACACATATATGTACACACATACATATATGTACATATATATTCATTTATATTCTTAAATATATATATGCAACCTGCTCAGCCCATGTAATGTTACTAATATGCATATGATTTCAGGGCTGACCACTTGGTATTGGATCACCAACTGGGGGACTCTTCCCTGGAGAAGACTATTTCTCCCTCTCTCAGAATTCTCCAGTAGACAAATAATTGCTATTTTACTTAAACTGTCTCCAAAGGTATGTTAGTCTTTCATATGACTTTGTCAATTGAATACTGCTTATTCTAAATCAGAGTTTCTCATTACTCTCCAATTTCAGATAGCATGACGGTTGTCAGAGCCAACAGAGGCAATGGATGGAGCAAACCACTCTGTAGTATCTGAGTTTGTCTTCCTGGGACTCTCCAACTCATGGACAATCCAAGTATTACTCTTCCTCTTTTCCTGTGTGTTCTACATGGCAAGTCTATTAGGAAATTTTCTCATTGTGCTAACTGTGACTTCAGACCCCCATTTACAGTCCCCTATGTACTTCCTATTAGCAAATCTTTCCTTTCTCGACTTGATATTTTGCTCCTCCACAGCACCAAAGATGATTTACGACCTTCTCAGAAGGCACAAAACCATCTCTTTTGGGGGCTGCATCACGCAGATCTTTTTTATCCATGCAGTTGGAGGCACTGAGATGCTACTGCTCATAGCCATGGCTTTTGACCGATATGTTGCCATATGCAGACCTTTGCACTACTTGACTATCATGAGTCCACAAAAGTGCATTTTGTTTTTAGTTGTTTCTTGGATTATTGGCTTCATCCACTCAGTGACTCAGCTGATTTTTGTAGTAGACTTACCCTTCTGCGGTCCTAATGAATTAGACAGCTTTTTCTGTGACCTTCCTCGGTTTATTAAACTGGCTTGTGTAGACACATACACCTTGGGATTCATGGTTACTGCCAATAGTGGGTTCATTTCTGTGGCTTCCTTTTTAATTCTGATCATGTCTTACATATTTATTTTGATGACTGTGCAAAAGAAATCTTTGGGTAGTTTATCTAAAGCTCTCTCCACTCTGTCAGCTCATGTCATGGTGGTCATTTTGTTCTTTGGACCATTAATTTTCTTCTACATGTGGCCATTTCCAATATCTCATTTGGATAAATTTCTTGCCCTCTTTGATGCAGTTATTACCCCTTTTCTAAATCCAGTAATTTATACACTTAGGAATAAAGCTATGAAGTTGGCAATGAGAAGATTATGCAGTCAGTTTATTAATTACAATAAAATGTCTTAAATATATTGTAGATATATAAGCACACAAATTATACTAGAATTTCAGGTAGATATTGCTACATTTACTGTGTTTTATTTATCCAGAATATATTGTGTACTAAAATTTGATATGCTATCATTTGCTTTCCCCAAAAAATGAAATACCAGCTAATAAATAGTTTCTGTAAGAGACATAATGGGCTAGAGAGAAGATTCAGTGTTTAGAACACTTAATGCTCTTAGATAGGACCAAGGTTAGGTTCCCAGCACCCACATGGAGGCTGACAACTGTCTGCAGTTCCAGTTTAAATGAACCAAATCACCTCTTCTAGCCTCTGCCAGAACCAAGATGCATGTGGTACACATACATTCCTGCAGGCAAATCACTCATACACATGAAACAAAACTATCATGATAAAAGAATGCATACTAAAAACTACAGCTGGTGTATGTCACTCTTCACCAATGATGTTATGTGGAGGTAATGGTGAATTCAATAATGATAAATGTTAAAGAATCTACTTATAAAATCCAGTATGTGGTTTTTAGTTATTTTTTTTTCAGAGACTGCTCATGTTTATTAACAAAAGGGACAATCCCACATATCCATCCACAAGTACATTTAGAAACCTTAGAACTGACAATGATCACCCCTTCCAACACCCCGCTCTCTAGGACCCACCCTAAACTTAGTTTGGGCCCTTCAAAAGTACTGCCTGGGATGTACTCTCTGCTTTTCATGTTCTCCATCCACTTGTCCCATTGTCTCCAAGACTCTGCTCAGTCACTCAGGTCTAGACCAAAATCTGGATATAACTCCTTGATGGTGACACCTCGGGTCAGAGCCAGCTTTCCCAGCAGCATCTGTGCCACATCCTTGATGTCATTGTACTCATGGAGAAGAGAGATGTGGCCCTCTAGCTCACCCACACGGTAGCCTTCTTTTACTAACTGGGAAATCTCCTTGTCCAGCATCTCCTTTTTCTCCTTCAGTTTCTGAATGTCAGAGTTCAAAGTTTCCTCACTAATCTCATCATCCTCTTCCAAACTGGGAGATGAACACGGTGATCGGAAGGCTCCATAGCAACTTCGGCCGAATCCTAAGTCAGCCCTCCTGAACCCTGAGGTCCGAGGTACCCGGAGCGGGGTCGTCTTTTTGCGAAGAAGGGTCCAGGGTTGGAGTTAGACGGATGCCTCAGATAACCAGAAATCAGCAATGGAGACCACCAACCGACTTCGGTTTTTAGTTATTTATTTTACAGTCTTGAGATTATTTTCAAATTTAATTCTTACTTGTAGTTTCTACTTCATCTGATTTTTCTACTATTCTGATGATTTATTTTCTGCCCCTTCAGTCTTTTGTTTATCAACCAGTTATTTGGCTTCCAAAAAGACCAGTAAGAATGAAACTGCATCTTTTTTTTTTTTTTTTTTTTGAAAAGGCAAATTTTATTATAAAGAACCATTGGCTAGATATAAAACTATGCTGAATGGCTTTCAGGGAAAGCTGTTGCTTCAGATGAGTTTCCAGCAGCACAGACGAGACCAGAGAGAGCTCACAGCACAGACGAGACCAGAGAGAGCTCACAATGGTAAAGGAGACTTTCATGGTTAAACTCCACTTCTAAACAGTTCAGTTTCCAAGCAAAACTAAACAAAAACCAGGAGATGGAAAGGAAAAAAAACAAAGTGATATAATGAGGATGCAGCCTCTTCTCAAATTTAGTCTTTCCCTTTATATTCAGTATTTTTCTTCTCATGAAGCTAACTTTCTCTGTTAAGATCATCAGATCACTCATTACACGTTACACAGTGAGGTGCTTCCCAATTCTAGAATCACCAATAAAAACCTTTTTAACAAATATTAATAGTTATTTGGAAAAGACATAAATATGATCACAGAAGTGGCAATTTTAGGAAGGCAGGAAACAGAGCGCACACATGGAAATAGCAAAATAAATAAGGAGAGAATATCAGAGTTTTTGTTTTGGGGGTTGTTTCTTATTGGGTTTTTGGTGGGGGGGTTGTTTTTTCTTTTTTGAGACAGGGTCTTCCTATGTATCTCTGTCTGTCCTAGAACTCACTATGTATACCTGGCTGCACTCCAACTCACATAGATCCTCCTGCCTCTGTCTCCTGAGTGTTGGGATTAAAGGCATGCCTTGCTAATGGATTCTTATCTTTTTTTTAGCTTTCTGGTTTGTCCTAGTGAATCCCTTCTTATTGCTATTAACTGTACATTTAGTAGTATTGTTATTTTGCTACATTTTAATTTTTAGATTTATGTACTATTCCCTACACAAATTCATGTCACAAAGTAGAAAGAAAGCCTAGGGAGAAGGAAAGAGACAGAAAGTGTGGGAGACAGAAAGTGGGTAGTAACAAGGGGGTAAATACAGTCACAGTCTTTAATATAGTATAAGAAATTGCCTATAGCTCTTCCGCCAGCCATTGGCTAGAGGAGACCTGCCTATCCACGTGGGACCACTCCTCTGCTGGAGTCCCGGCCCCTCCCAAGATCCCCCTATCTCTACGGGTCCACTCTGAGTTCCCGCAGGCAAGATCCTTGACCCCCAAAGCAGGGTCTCTACTAAAGAAAGAGGCCTCAGCTGGAGAATTCCAGTTCCCAGTGAGATCCGACTATCATTGCAGAATCATCCCGAGTATCAGCCTAGCCTTTGTCCTCTTCCACCAGCAATTGGCTAGAGCCATTAGCTAGAGTCCACACTACTTCGGGGGACTTCTCCGAGCGACTTTGAACACAGGAGACCTGCCTATCCATGCGGAACCACCCATAATTCCCACCTGCTTGGTCTCTGACCCCCACCAACAGTCCTCTGCTGGAGTTCCGAGCCCCCTCCCAGAGACCCACCTATCTCTGCGGGACCACTCTGAGTTTCTGCAGGCATCTTCTACTGGATCCTCATCCCTGACCCCATACCTGGGCCCCTGTCTGCAGAGAGACCTCCTCCTATAGAGCTGGGACCACCCAGAGCTACAGATATTGAACCTCTGACCCACATAAGCCCACCGGGGAAGTACCATAGAGAGAGGGGGAGACCCCACCAACACCTACTGGAATAAGCTATGGGAAGACGGCAATACAAGAGAACACCTAACAACAGAAAGACAGGCATGACACTACCAGAATGTAGGGAATCTACACCAACTAAAAAGGAACACAAAAACAAAGCAGAGGAAGCAGAAGGGAATGACTTAAAAATTACCATCATAACTGCAGAATTCTACCAGACATTCAAGGAAGAACTAATACCACTACTCCTCAAACTGTTCCACAAAATAAAAACAGAAGGTTCATTGCCAAACTCTTTTTATGAGGCCACAATAACCTTGGTACCCAAGCCTCACAAAGACACAACTAAGAAAGAAAACTACAGACCAATATCCCTGATGAACATCGATACAAAAATACTCAATAAAATACTGGCAAACCGAACTCAAGAATACATCAGAGAAATCATCCACCATGACCAAGTAGGCTTCATCCCTGGAATGCAGGGATGGTTTAACATACGAAAATCTATCAACGTGATCCACCATATAAACAAACTGAAAAAGAAAAACCATATGATTATCTCCCTAGATGCGGAAAAAGCCTTCGACAAAATTCAACACCCTTTCATGATAAAGGTCTTGGAGAGAGCAGAGATTACAGGAACATACCTAAACATAGTAAGAGCAATATACAGCAAACCAACTGCCAACGTCAAACTGAATGGAGAGAAACTTAAGCCAATTCCTCTAAAATCAGGAACAAGACAAGGCTACCCTCTCTCTCCATATGTCTTCAATATTGTACTGGAAGTTCTAGCTAAAGCTATAAGACAACAAAAAGGAGTTCAAGGGGATCCTTGTGAGAGGGCAGAGAGGGTAAATGTGAGGGAGAGAGGGAGGGAGGAAGGGAGGAAGAAGGAACTGGGATCAACGTGTAAGATAATAAATTAAATAAAAAAAAGAAATTTAAAAAAAAAGAAATTGCCCATATGAGAACTATGGAGGTTATGAGAGATTACAGAATTTCAGAGTTACATAATTCAACCTTGGTGTTTGCCAACAGATAAATGGATTTAAAAAGAAATCTTGCTTTATATATTCAGAGTAGAGATTTATTTAGCCATAAAGAAAATTAAATTATGTAATTTACTGGGAAATAGATGTAACTGAGCATCATCATATTAGAGAAAAAGTCAAACATAGAATGTCAAAAGACAAATATCAATATCACGTGTTTTCTCTCATTTTCAGGTGATAGAGTTCTTCATATACACATAAATTAATACACATGTCTGTGTAAGCATTTGTGTGTATGTATGCACATGAATGTGCATGAGTTTATGTGTGTGCCTACTTGGATGTGTGTGTGTGTGAGTGTGTGTGTATGTGTGCAGTGTGTGAGTATGTTTATGTGTGTTTATGTATTGTGGGTGTGCATGTTTTTGTAAATATATATACACATGTAAATACATGTGTTCATGTATGTGGGGGTACATAGGTGTTTGCATGTGTGTGCACATGCAGAAATTTGAGTATATGTTCATGTGTGTGTGAGTATGTGTCTCTGTGTACTTGTGTGGTATGTATGTATGCATGAGTGTGTGAGTGTGTATATGTGCATGTGCACGTGTGTGTATGTGTTTAGTAAATTAATGGCTGTAGATTCTCCTCCAATAACCATGACTTCAGTAGCACTCATTAGTTATCTAGGTTTCCAGTATCAGACATGATTCCCCTCTTGTTTTGCAGGTCTTAAGGCAAATTAGAGAGCTTTCAGTTGTCACCTAAGACATGTGTACCACTACTGCACCCTTAGGGTTATCATAACATTCTGCTGATTGATGTAGTTTGTAGGTATCATAGCTTTTTAAACATCAGTGTTAAGAGTAGGTTTTTTTCTGCCCGGCCTGGTCCCACCACTGTGCCAGCCCCAAATAACTCACAGAGATGCTATATTAGATATAATGCTATTGGCCAGTTACTAGTATTTCTTTATATATTAGATATAATTCTATTGGCCAGTTACTAGTATTTCTTATTGGCTAGCTCTGCCTTAAATATTAACCTATGTCTATTAATCTAAGTATTTCCACATGATCTCATCTTACTTCTGCTCTCTCCATCCTCCATCTTGAATCTCCTCCCTACTACTTTTGAAATCAATCCCTCCTTGTCTCCTAATCCCGCCTATCTTGCTTTGCTTTCCTATTGGCCAACAGTGCTTTATTCATTAACCAATATGAGAAACATATTTACAGAATGGCATCTGCCATCACATCAGAGTGAATATGTTCTCTATGGTCATATTATTCCTGCCTCCAAATATCAGGTACAGTGAGGGACTTTGAAGGTATTTGAACAAATAAATCCATTTGGTAAAGGGAACAAATATGAGCTGGATACCCTTAATAGTAGAACAAAGTTTCTCTGCAAGACACAAATTAAGTTAGACGAAACCTTTACTTACATATATATTACAATGTATTAAACTCATAATTTATATGTCATTTTAGGATAATTTAAAATATTCTTGTAGTGATTTAACTTGTGTAGTTCATGAATGCATAAGGAAAATCCTGTTTTCAAGGATGCTGACATTTCTATGAGTTTCTTGGAAACCGAATATTACAAGGTATCTAAGGAATATTTGGATTAATTGTTATAGGGTTTAAATTGACAAATGGTAAAATTGATTTCTGTGCAGATTCTGGCATTGTCTTGCTCTCCTGTGACCCATTATTAACATTCCCCTTGTTGCCTTGACCAAAATGAATGTGTTAGAGAAGACAATTTCCTTGGTTAATTTATTGACTTTAGTTCTGCAGGACCTCATCATTGTAGGTTGATCTGATCACTATCCTTACCACAGTGAACTAGCTGAGTTTTCTTTTCATAAAACTATTTTGTATACCACCATGCTTGAAGTAATAACCTTTGAGTAGCCACAAAGGAAGGATGCCATGAAGTTCACAACAGGAAGACATTATGCTAAATAAGCTTCAGCAGCAAGGAAGACTTGGGTAACAGCTTGCTTTTTGCATACATTAAGGTTTGGTCTGTGGACAGGAAGAAATTGGGTGGTGGGAGGAAGGATGATCAGAAGAGCAACTGTGAGTCTTTGTGGTAATAGAAACAAGATATTATCTTCACTAAAGTCA